CCTCATCTGGACTCTGATATTGAAACACTTGTAAAGAAGTGTGACACCTGCCAGACATTTCAAAAAAACAATGCGAAAGAACTTCTTACACCATGGAATGTTCCTTCACGGGCATGGAGAGATTGGCTACATATATTTTTCATTTTGAAGACATCCACTACCTGATGATAGTAGACTACTACAGCAAATAATTTGAACTAGTGCAACTGGGAAGTCTAAAAGTGTCAACAGTCATATGGACTTTTAAGACAATATTTTCAAGACATGGAGTGTGTGAAGAACTTGTGTTTGACAATGGGCCACAATTCGCATGTGCTGAATTCCAGTGCTTCCTGCGTGAATGGGGAATCAAGCACAAACCCACAAGCCCTTATCACCTACAGGCCAATGGCCTAGCGGAGAAGTATATTGGCATAGCCAAATCCATTATACAGAAAGCACAATCATCAGGGCAGGATGTGTATTTAGGCCAATTAAACTATTGTGCAACACCCATTGAGGGTTTATACTCACCGGCAAAGCTGCTAATGGGGAGAACACTGAGGACTACAGTGCCTACTGCTCTGCATAAATTGCAGCCTCGTTCCATCCTACATGAGCGGGTAACAGCTCAGAGGAACATAAATATGAGAAAGAAAAAACTGTCTTTTGATAAATCTACCAAGCCTCTTCGTCCACTGTGTGCTGGGCAAGCTGTGAGACACAGAGTCACTGGGAGAACATGGGAACCTGCTCGAATTCTCAGAGAAGGCAATTCACCAAAATCATATGTAGTTGAAACCGAATGTGGACAGCAATGAGAAGAAACAGGTGTCATCTTCGTTCAGACACTGCTGCTGATATTGCATTGGAAGAAGTAAACAAGGAAAATGAAGCACAAGCGCATGATGGCACAGAATTCCTGAACACGGATATACAGCCTACAGAGAACACCAAGGATAATGTAAGCATATCAGCATGTGACAATGCCGGGACTGACTCACAACCTGACAGCAAATTTACTGATGATCAGACAGCGGTAACTTTCTCTCGCTATGGTGGAGCTATTAAACCAAAAATATGGAAAAATTTTGTATCATATTAGATGTTTTATACTTAAGAAGGGCGATATAATGATGTTTAGGTTTTGTGTTATATTTCAAGTTCAATTGTTATGCCTAGCTCTTTAAGAAGGTTAGAAAACAGTTAATTTTTTAATGATGTCATCTAGGGAGAATGTAGTTTCTAAGATGGCTGCTGCTGAATAAACACAGGCCTCTAGTTCAAGTTCATTGCCGTCTGCCTTTATATTATGCCAAGTCATCATAGAGACCACATCAGAAATGTGAGGCAAGAGTGCAGACCAGCAGCAGAGTACACAGAGGTGTTTCAGGACCTGGCATGTCACCTCATGAGTTGCTTCAAAGATGGGCTGAAGGATGACCTGTATATCATGTGTGTTGTGAGGGTGGCCCCTGCTCACCTCCACAACTGATGTGTGCTGGTTGAGGAGGTGGAGATTGAACAAAACCAAAACAATTATTGTAGCAGCAAGGCATGGAAGAGGTTACTCCTGGAGAGAAAGAGGGAGGCCACCAAACCCCAAGCCCAGCCGCAGAACCTGACAGAGATTTGGATAATGACCTCTTGGTAAGTGACCTCATTGTACCCGTAACTATGCCCATAGAATTACACCTCCCAGGAACCAGACAGAAAGGCTCACTGAGAGCCCTTCTAGACTTGGGATGCATCAGGTGCTTAGTAAGCCCAGTTCTGGTGAAGAAAATGGGGATTCATCTAAGGATTCTAAAAACCCTGATTGCATTTTGTCATCTGGTGGTGGGGGCATTCCTGCCACATTTGCCACTGAACATTTAGAGATACAGATGGTTACCCACTCAGAGATTTAAACTTCATAGTCTCCCTGGGGATGGAGGGGCCTCTGGTCTTGGTACTAGCCTTGGTTGAAATAGTGGAACCCATGCATGGAGTGGAGGGTTTATTGAAATTCCCGCCAGGCAGAAAGCCCTAGTACAATCAATAATGTGGGACTAAGAGAGTTCTTCACCAAGACGTGGGAGCTGCAATGCAAAGGAAACTTCTCCCGGCCATACCAAGGGCGTTTTAAGACCTGAGGGAGATGTTTAGTGAAAAGAGGTTGGACAAATTTCCCCCTCATCAGCTTACAGACTGTCCTATCAAAATTATCCCAGGGGCTAAATTGCTGAAACCAAAGCTCTACACAATGACTCCCAGGGAATTAGATGAGCTCCCTGCATTAATTGACAAAAACCTAGCTCAGAGTTTTATCCAACCAGCCAGATGCAGAGTGGATGCTCCAGTCCTAATTAGGGGGAAAGGATTGATCTTTGTGCCTCTATGTTTTATTACAGGACTGAACATGGTCTGTGTGGAAAATATACACCCTTTATCCCTCATGAAGGATATGTTGACCCATTTGGGAAAGGGGAATTTTTTTACAAAGTTGGATTTGTGGGAGGCTTACTACTGCATTAGAGTCAGAGAAGGAGATGAGTGGAAAATCGCTTTCAACTGCTGAACTGTTTTCAGTTTGGACTACAAGTGGTGCCCAGAGTATATGCAGGTGATAAATTAAGTCCTGCATGAGCACCTGTATAACGGGGTATTGGTTTATCTAGATGACATTTTACTTTACACAGAAATGAAAGCTGAGCATGTGAAACTAGTCAGAGCTGTCCTCCAGGAACCTGGTGCTGCTAAGTTGCATGCCAAACTATCCAAATGTGAGTTTTATCAGGGTAAGATTGACTATTTACACTATCGAATTTCCCATGAAGAAATCAAAATGGATCTGGAGAATGTGTGGGTAGTGCTGGAATGGGTACCACCCCATACCAGGAAGCAAATGCAGAAATTCCCAGGATTCACCATTTTTATAGACAATTAATTTCTTCTTTTGTGCAAATTGCCTTGCCCATTACAAACTTACTGAATAAGAAAGGGGGGGGGAACAAACCTAAACCCAGCCAACTACTGAAATAGACTATGGAGTGCCAGGCGGTATTTGAAAAACTCAAACAGCTTTTCTCTGCCAAATCAGTGCTGAAGGATCTGGATCCTGACAAGGCATTTATCATCCAGGCAGACACCAGTGATGTAGTGGTAGGAGCCATTCTGATGCAAGAAAATGAGCAGGGGCAGTTAGAACTCTATGCCTACACATGCAAAAAACTGACTGAAACTAATCAGTGCTGGGCCATATGGGAGAAGGAAGCCTATATAGTTCTGTGGGCACTGCTTTCTTGGAGGCATCTTTGGAGGAGAGTAAAATTTATTTCCAGGTATGGACTGATCACCAAAACCTGGAAACCTTAAAGACCTCTTAGAAGTTCTCCTCTACACAGGTGCAATGGGCCCAGTACTTTCAGAGATTTAATTTTATCCTATGCTTTTTGCCAGAAGAAAAGAACTTCCTTGCTAACGCTTTGTCAAGAATGCCTCAGTACAATAGCTCTAAGGTGGAAGTAGTCAAACCTTTGTTCCCATTGCACGAGCTGGCTGACCAAGTAACCATGAGAACACAGGGAAAAGGAAAGCTCTGGATGGGCCATAGCAGGGGTAGGTTTCAATTTTTTTTACTACCGTTTCCGTGTGCATGACTTGTTTGGTGGGTGTGGCTTGATGGTCATGTGATGGTGGGCATGGCTTTTGGCCATGTGACTGGATAGGCATGGCTTCATGGCCATGTAACTGGCTGGTGATGTGACTAGGTGGGCGTAGCTGCTTGGTCATGTGACTGGGTGGACGTGGCCAACTTGACGTCACTCACATCAAGGGGTGCCTTGCCTGGCCTCTCCTCTCCTCAAAGTCCTTAACGAGATACAATTTTTCTGTCTATTTATTTACTACTAAACATCCAAAATATATTATTTAATCCTATGTATANCGCCTCCTGGTGGCCAACCAGCCTCTCTGCGCCCTGCTTGGAACCGGAACCCTGTCCAGGGTCCTTCACATCCTCCAAAGTCGACTCATAGGGCCCCTCGCTGTCGGAGTCTGGTGGCAGCTCCAACGGCTCCTGCTGGGCCACAACAGTTTTCATGGTAACACAATACCCAAGATCAATAGCTAAGGCTCACTTTAGGCAACATGTTGGTATACCTTTCTTATAAATAATGTCTCTGTGTGTGTAAAAGCAGAATATGGAGGGATGGGAAGAGATTATGTTTCTTTGATTTTCCTCTATGAGCTTTCTCCTGAATTTCCTTGATGAGTTGTGACTTGGAAACCAGGAAACTCAGCATCTATTGTTTCTATTCACTAAATGAAAATCAATATATATATTTTTCGTGAATGCATGATGCTAAAGGGGGAAAAAAAACAGATCACATGTTTGCGTTTCCATGCGGGTGAAGTCATGAGTGCTACTGAGAAACATATTCAGTTGAGCTATTTTAGAAATTAATACTATTCTGTGAAATTTTTGTTACGCAACAGACATGTCTGGAAAGAAATGCCAAAATAAAACCCTGGTAATGCAGAAAGATGTGCTTGTCCAGTTGAACAGAGATCGTCAACTGTTTTCAGAAGACAAAATAGCTTTTATGCAAAAGAGAAACAGTTTCAGATGAATCTGCAGTGAAGCAACTGTAAAATGACCTTTAATGTACACTTTTGCACTTTTAGTAAGAATTGTAGTCCCAGATGTGTGTAATCTGAAATCCTCAAAACTTTATAATAAACAACCCGAGTCACCAGATCAGATGACAAACTGAGGGCAGAGCTGCGTCTCCTCTCTCCTCACATCCTTTGTCTCTTAGGAATTTGATTTTCTTGGCACATTCTTTGTCTCTTAGGAATTTGCTTTTGTTGGCCCATCCTTTGTCTCTTAGGAATTTGATTTTCTTGGCTTCCGATTCCTTTTCTCTGCTTGCTATAATGGTGCTTACAAGTCAAAGGCGCACTATAATTGATATGATATCAATTTTCCTATAGGCTAACTAGGCTTCAGCCTAGGGCCTCAAGATCAAGAGGGGCCTACATTCAAATTGTTAGCAAAAT